TAATTCCTAAATATTCCTACTTTAAGTTCAGTGAAGAGGCTCTCGTGATAACCGATAGCAGCAAATTTAGTCGCTGAATAATCTGTGCAATTATAGGTTCCTAGAAGTCCTGCCACGCTTGCCACAGTCACGATGTGACCGTGATTGTTTTTCATCATATCCGTCATGAATGCCTTGGTAATCTGTTGAATGTAAATGTCACCTGAATACCTTCCTCGACCGAGCATTGTTCACCTTAACTTACCCAATAATGAGACAATATGTTTACTTTATAAGTGCGTTCAATCTCGTCATCTGGTAACTCTAAAAGCGTTTTTCCATATACATAGCCTGCATTATTTATCAATAGAGTTACCTGTAAGTCATCATTGTATATCAATTATAATTTTTCCATTATAAATTAACACTCTAATATTACTTACAGAGCCGACTTCAATCTGCACAGTCTTGGCTATCCTGTACACTTCCTCTCTGTTGGAGATATCACAATAGTAGCTCCAACATTTACCTCCATCACGTTTGATTTCCTGAACCGTATCCTCAAGCCCTGTAAGTTTATAGAAACATGGATAATTAATTGATTAATAGTGTTAAAGCGTCTATTAAAACTTACCAGACTTATTGACGTCCCAGATGACAACGTGTGCTCCAAGTTTGGCCAATTTAACAGCAATAAGTCTTCCTATTCCTCCTGCACCTCCAGTTATCAGTGTGATCTCTCCTTTAATAGATTTCGCGCGATAACGTCGCGGAACAAACGTCAGGATGATAGCTTCGCTTATGTAAATCAAAGCCATCCCCGTGAATAGCAGGAGGTCGTAAATCATTTTTAGCCATTCTGGTAGCTCCATTTATATTCCTATATTGCAGATTATTTATTGAAATTTATTATTAGAAAAAGTAACAGAAATTCCAATTATCCAGCAATATATATATATTTCCCAATAACATATAGTAACATTAAACAGGCCAAAGAGGTTCCTTCTCTTCATATTTAATTGACTTTTTCAACATGAACTGCATTTTATGCAACGTATTATATTTATTGCATCAATGCCTCCGTATCAAAATGCGCAACAGAGACTGGTTTCTGCTGCTTCCTTTTTTCCCCTGCGAAATAGAAATCGGTGGCCTGACAGGTTCCACCGGTAAGCAGAAATTGCGTGTATTACGGTATTTCTATGCAAGTAGTGGTACACCAATCTATGAGACACCGATTTGCGGTTATCTGCTGTTATTAACAGCGGTCAATGCACTACTCGTGCGAGCGCGCGACTCCTTACACGGAGACCAAGGGAGAATGCATCGCGTAGAAAATTTATTCCACGATCGTAGCACACTTCTGTCTGAATATTTATCGAGAGGATCGATTATTTGCCTGGAAAGGATCGTTTAGCGCGAGACCCGAATATAGAAAGTGCTACGAACAACTGGGCGATCTCTGCTTCCAATCTCTTTTCTTCTGTCCTTTCAGGACCCGTTCACAAAACTAAAAATACACTGGGACCAGAAGGAATCTCGACTGGGAATTTGGACAATTTTTAGTCGTCAAAGAGCCAGGTTTTGCCAAACTCTAAGCGTTTCTATTTGATAAAATCAACATCTGGCTTAACGAGTGAAAGCCGGCACCACGAATATGGAAAGCTATACGAGAGGTATTGTACAATACCCGAAAACAAAACAACACTTGTAATTTTGGATTTTTTTTTTATTTGAACTGCGTCATGTTTCGCGTCTATAGGAGAAACTGCTATAACTTGGAGATCGTCGTAAATCAATTCCTATTTCGCATTTTAGAGGCAATGTATACAATAAAAAATGTATATTTTGTAGATTTTTAATGAGGAAACGAATCTCTATTCCAGTTCACTTTATCTGTATTTTATGAAGATATAAATTTACATGAATATCGGCAACTTAGTCATGATATAAGAAATGACTTAACATTGTTACCGTGTTATTCAATAATTGCCATATTAAAATACAAAACTTTCCCACTTTTTCATTTTGACACTTTTGTTTCGCTATTTGAACACTTATACAAGTATTTTTATTATTATCGCTTATTGGTTGTTTCACCCTTCATTGGAGACAATTTCACTTCGTTCCACTGTGTTAAAGACCGACAGTTTAATTTAAATTAATGCGCGAAACGAACCTCTTTACGGAAAAAGCTTCCGGTTAGCGCAAGAAGAAGCGCGAATTTGAAAAATGGCTCCCTTCCTCTCTTTATGTGCACGTGAGTCAGTTGATCGACTGAAGTTGACTGCCGCCGTATCCTCCGATGCGTCCGAATTGCAAGACCCACGACGCTTTGCTGCGTAGCTTCTAACTTTGCTTAGTGACGTAGCCTGAAACCCTCGTGGAAGGTATTAAGACACTCACTGTACATTCCCCTTCTTCCGAGTCTCTCTTTTCGTCCTATACTTATATTTTTTGAACTAATACTGTCATCGATTACAGATTTATGTATGAAAAATTCATAAAACATTTTTGGCTTGATACATTTTTTAATGCTAGACCTCAATGTACTGTGAGATTTACGAAAAACGCTTTCTTAATGAAGCTATAACATTCTGAATATAAGCTTAAGCTAAAATAATTAATGAAGTTAAGAATTCGACGTTTAAATGAAGATACAAGAGTCAGAAAATTCTATTTAAAGTACATCATTGGATTTACTATAGTATTGTATCCCGTAAGATGTACGGAACATGGGTTGCAGATTCCTAATATCCTAGAAAAGGCCAGCACCGCATTTTACGGTGAAAGTACCAGTTGGCGCTCTCTTCCTGCCTTTCTGATGCAGTTCTATCATTTAGCGGCACGCGAGAATGCGTGTCTGCGTTCGACCTGATCTTCTGTATGTAGAGCATGAAAGGACAGACGGGAAAAAGGTTGCAAAAGCGGTAGTCTTTTATTTGGTAGATCGATTAAGCAAAGTACATGTATCTCTGTTTTTTGATTATTATACACTTTCAGGTTTAATTTAATTGTACTACTTCTGTTTTCCTGACGTAAATTTTGAAATCCAGTGTCTCTTGTAGAGAAAGTAAGATTCAAAGAAAGTAGTTACCTTAATTAATGTAGTTTTCTAAATTTTTTGACATCAAGATTAATATTGTCTATATTGCAATAGTCTTTATTTGAATTGACCTTCCTAACCTCTCAGAAATAGTCGGTTATTACTTTTTCAATTTCTATAATTAATCTAATCAGCTTCTCCTCCCCTTCTAATACTATTAAAGTCGCAAAAAAGCAATGTCTTACGGGAAATTGCGCGAGGTCATCGATTTACAATCCATCAAGTTGTTGTGTTATTTTCTTTCGCGTAGAAAGTTACGAGATCTGAGTGAATCCTCGAATTACGTGTGTGCAATGCAGATGGAGCATTATAATACACCGGCTTACACAATCGAAGCGGAAATTTATTTTGTTCGTTACCGCGACATGCGCACACGCACGAACGCGCAACATGCGCGGGAAGATGTCGAGGACTCGCTCATTCTTTGAGGATAATTCGCATACACGTACACGCGTGACCGCCGTTCGAATTATTGAAAGAGAGGAGAACCCAATTCGCATGAACGATTTTCATAGTGTAAGCATCAGGAGATAGCAGGAATCATCGTGCGGCCTGGTGAAAGGATGACTTTCAAGATCTAGGTCGCTGGTCTTTCTTCTCTACCAGAGACGAGGGTGCCGGAGAAATAGAAACATCGTTGTCATGACACCAGTTGCGTTCCAGGTTTAATTTGTCATTCACAGTATCCAGAACACGAAGAGAATAAAATTTTCTAGATTTATTTTTTATATCTTTTTTATCCTTGATGTTTTAGAATTTTTAATGTTCAAGAGTTATAGGTTATGTCTTAAAGTGGTCATTTACGAGGCAAGTCAGGTTGTTAGTATTGTTGTACTCATTGTCAATTGTTAAAATTCAGACGTTTGAAAAGAGATATTTTGTTAAAAGACCTTCGTATTCGTTTCGATCGTGGATGAATCACGTGTTACGGAAAAAGAGACACGCTACTATAACAGGGCTCCGTGACCGTGTCATTATCCATGCAACGCGTCGCTTCTCGTAATAAGTCGTACCTGAATTAATGAATAAATGAAAAATAAACGACGCCGTGAGCGATTGTACATTTTATATTGTGTCCTTTGAGGTAGACAGGACATAATACATTTCCTTTTATCGTTTATGGTGTTCAAGGATTGGCGCACGTGCTGTGGAAACGCGAGTGCACCTCCTGGGAGCAATTAATTATATATAGGGTGGTTCATAATTCATAAAAGTGGTTATTTACAAGACATTTCTTCCTAAAAAATTTAATAATCATATTTATTTCACATTTTTAAGGAAGAAAAGGTATACAGCTACTTGTAAACGGTTCTATAAAATTGAAACTATGTTTAAAGTTATAATCAATCTGGTTTCCGGTATAGAGGCTCCATCTGTCGGAAGAATATCGATATTTAAAGTGTACCGACTTAGTTTTTCGATCTAATTTGAAAACACAATACTACTCAAACCAAATTTAGAACAATTATTGATGCGTATTTTTCAAATTTAAGAACAGTAATATTTTCAAGAAAGAGAAATTCAATTTTAATACATCGCGTTTGTTATTAGATTAAGGAAGCATATATAGGGTTACTCAATAATTAATCAATTCATATAAATTATAGTTTTGTAATACATTGATGGATGATGTAGAGACGTACAGAGGCAAAAGAGTGGTTCGATATTTACTCGATATTTGCATATTTAGTAATCGCGTAATGGAGCAGAAAGCTTGTCACGATGGTGATGATCGAGGTCCATTCTACTCAGATTTACCCAATGCGAATTTCAGTGAAAGTACACACTGACAATAATTTCGTAATTTTTATTCTTTTCGACAGCTTGAACTCTGAATGACGGTTTCACTTGGATTGACTACTTCCAAGAGGCTCTTTTGCTACCTGTTGACACGAAACTATTGCAAACCCAACAGTAAGTATTCTTCAATCATCTCTATCTTCTCACCTTATTTTTTATTCAAAAAAAATTTCCAAACTAAAAAGCCAGCTTAAAAATAGAATAAAAAATGTTGTAAATTAAAACAACAGTTATTTCTAGTTTAGTTATGAAAACAAGGATCACGTGATACCCTAATTAGTCCGCATCACCTATTGGCCAAATTTCAAGAGGTCAATTACCAGAAACGTGTCTGACCAAGAAGCTAATCGACTCATTTTCAGATTATTAAACTCTGCTCAAGGTGTGATAATAGAAATGGGAATAAGATAACGATTATTAACGTCATGAGAGTCTATTAAGAAGAGTTCGAAGAACATCGTTGCGAAAACTCGACAATTAACGATCTTTCACGGCATGAGAGTCTGTTAAGAAGAGTTCGAAAAACCGTTGCGATAACTCGACAACTAACTACTTTTCACGGTTTCCTTTGACACTTATTGACGTCATTGAAAATTCGTCAAACGATCAACGTCGTTAGCGACTGATTAGGATTTAATACAGATCGCCCGTTAGGACCTCCTGAATTATTCGGGGATCGGTCACTTTCACTTATAGTCTTTGCTCTGGAAAGCCAGGGGTCGACCAGTGGTTTTGCTAGGAGAAAGATTTCTTGTGTTCAAGTTCAACGGTTGTTCGAAGGAATGTAACTTTCCATTTCATCGTGATTTTCTGCTAATCGATGTCTAGAATAACTGGAAGACCACCTGTTTGAACTTTGTACCAAAAAAATAGGCGCTATTTTATGCAAATATTTGAATAGATTAATAATAAGAAGACAGTAGC